TATGGACTCTGGAAAGTATGAAACAGTAAGCCTGGAGCACACAATTATAAGGTGTGGCCAAGGAAGATAACAGAAGAGCAGACTGTGCAGAAAAATCAGCAAACTACCATGTCTTGGAAAAATGAAGAAAGAAGTATCAAACGAAGGAGGGGTTCAAGTGGATGTAGATTTGATTGAAATGAAGTCTCAGTATTTGGAATACTCCAATTCTGAAGTGACAAATGAGGTTTTCTACAACAGGGAGATTCACACACATTGCTTAAGAAACTGTTGGGGTGCAGAAAGCTGTCACCCCAAAATATGGTGCTTTGACAAGCTAGAATAAAGCAGCAGCCTCAAGGTCTCTTTGACCTCACCTCTCCTGTCTCTCAATCCTCTGTCACTCTCCAAAGCACAGGATAAAGCTGTTCCCTTACCTGCCTAAAGTTTGGACCGGCCAAAGAAGACAACAATAACCTCTTGTCCTTTCCTGAGTTTTCACTAACTTCATTCATATCACAGGAAGGAAAGCTGGAGTCTGTCAACACACCTGAACTAACTTTTGTCACAGACTATTATCTGTGACAAAAACTTTTAAAGAAAATCATTTACCAGTCCTTGTCTGCTCTGTGGGCCAAACAGACTTTGTCCACCATTGTATGTTCTCTACGCCCATTGCATCCCCCTAAGAATCATTTACTCCTACACCCCCATCTCCCCTTTCCCTACGGAGATGGGTATATAAGCTCTGTACCCCAATAGAAAATTGGGACATTACTCTCCTGTGATTTTTCCCCATGCTTAACCCCTTCCCAGCACACTAAATAATAAAATTTGTTATGCCTTCTCCTCATAATGATCTTCATTAATGAACCTTCAGGGGTGAAGAGGAAGTTTTCCCTTGGCCCCTACAAAACCCAGAAATTGGAAAGCTAGAGACATTTAATTATAAGCTTTCTCAAGAGTACTTTAGTGAGAAAAGAAATCTGTGTTGTAATGATTATAATGGGGACAAATACCTGGTGTGAAATGACTACAGTTCATCGCGGCAGCAAACAGTATCAGACAGAGGCTTAATTTGCAAACCAGAGAACACAGAACAAAGAGCTACCTTTCTTTCACATGGCAATATCCATTATCTTTAAACATGAGAGGAAATAACTGGTATCTTAGTTTTATAAATGACTGCATTCATTATTTTATCAGACAACCTCTAGACTTTGAGATAACCTATATTTTTTTTCTGATTTCTTCCCAAGAATATAAAGAATCCATAAATAAATATATAAGTATATATATTTAATTCTATTTATCCCTAAATATATGCAACTATACCATCTAAGTGTTTAACCCCAAGCCTTAATTTTAGTAAAAACCAGAAACATTCATTAAACTCCTTTTACATCCAAATAAG